ACATATCTACCTCACTATGTGGGAAGATTTGCATAACGCCGCCCAAATGTGCACGCAAAGAAAGAAGGCGTAACTTTTATTCTCGCTGTAGTATTGTTGCCGCCTCCATATCCTGAAGACGCTGTGTGATTCGTGGTGAAAGCGAAACTACTTTGTTTGGTCCAAAATAATGTTCTTTTTAACAGCATCATATGACCCCTTTAATATTCTGAATATTTGTTTTATGTTTTCATTTTCATTATAAAGTTTGTCATTTTGTTGTTAAGTTTTGAGAAACAAAAATACAAAGAAATACAATTTTTTTAATATTTTAAATAATGACTATCCTTTATAGTTTTGATTTAGTTACAGTTTTAGTTAACTGTAATACCCTATTAAGAAATTATAAACATTAATGTCATGATTAAACAATGTGCACTAGATTAAGTTCGAACAATAAGAAACCTGCGAAATGTTAATATTTTTAAATATTGTATTGTTTTGTCCAACTTTCTTTGTTTCTATGTTTTCACTTTATTTAGTTTTTTTTTTAAATTTTATCTATAGCCTATTTGTCAATGTTTACAACCAATTTTTCAATAAAAACACAAGAACTCATTGCGCATGCGCCCCCTTTTCAAACGTTCCCATTCTGAGCCGTTCACACTGAACGCATCAGAAACGCGGCGTTCTAAAACCCCGTTGCTTTAATACATTAATTAATTTTAAAAAGCATCTGTACATCTCTTGTTTTTTATTCCACTGTCCTACTTCTCGCGTTCATAATAGTGATGGGAAGTTCGGATCATTTTACCGACTCGGACCTTTGAGTCTCGTTCAGCAAAATGAACGAATCTTTTTTCGAGTCATTTCGTTCATTTTAGCAAAATACAATTAAAATGTTACGTGTTACTTCCCTAATACGTCTACTACTTGCGCAAACGTTGATCACACTACAAACAATACAAAACTGCTATAAGAAACAGAAAATATTAATTCATTGTTTAGCTGGGTCTTCAGTCTATGATTAGCTCACCACCTCTTATCTGACAAGTCTTCGGGTTCGGGGTTATGGGGCTGTCACGTGATGAATGAACGACTCAAACCCGAAGACTCGAGATGAACTAATCAATTCTCTTTCCGGCTCAGACTGCATAGGTTAAAGCGTATGGGGCTGTCACGTGATGAACGAACGACTCGAAAAACCCGAAGACTCGAGATGAACTAATCAATTCTCTTTCCGGCTCAGACTGCATAGGTTAAAGCGTATGGGGCTGTCACGTGATGAACGAACGACTCGAAAAACCCGAAGACTCGAAACAGGTGAACTACTTGACTAATTCCAGTACAGAACCTATAGGATGTTGCGCATGCGCGACTGAACGAATCACTCCCCGATACGACTCGTTCCTCCCGAGTCACATTAAAGATTCGTTCAAAATGAACGAATCATTCATGAACGACCCATCACTAGTTCATAAACGCAAAAAACGCGTTCAGTGTGAACGACCCTAAGCCGTCTACACTGCAAACATACAAATTCACAACTGCAGCGTTCAAGCCTGAGGTGAAAGTAGTAGTTGTACTCAAACACTTGCAGACCAACACTAAGTCGCAAGACTGATGCACATGAATCAGCAACGTGGTGTTGTGCTAATCAATAATGAGCTCAGCTCCTCCAGAGATTAGCACAGGACGATTAACACCAGGAACGTCCCATCCCCCTTTCAACTCCAGCCAAATGGCCAAAAAAAGAGCGCAAATTCAAAACAGGAAATCTGAACATCTGTCACCCTCCTCCCTGCAGGGATGGAAATTAACTAACAAGAAATCACTCCCAAAATATGCATCTGATTATCAACAGCCAATTTCATCAAACAAACCCGACGGCTCTGGTGTAACATTGATCTGGATCTGCTTAGAATGTATTCAATAATTGAGCAGAAATATGACCAAACGCATATGCATATGATAATAAATCATCTCACATTTTCAAAAAGACGGAACTGGAACGCAACATTTAGGCTACTTCAGTTTCTTAAAACTGACTTCAACTTTAATGAAACATTTCTTTGGTTGGATGGTTTGAATAAACGTGATGTTTAGACTTCATGAAAAGCGTGTTGGACAGCAAAAACACTTTTTATTTTTGCAGAGACTCTTCAAATAAACAAATAAATAAATTCTCGCAATGTTATTTCTCCAAGCACACAAACAGAGCGTTCCCATCCCGTTTGAGGAAAGCTCCTCATAAACGCAGAAAGTGTTACCTGCGTGTGTGAACGCTGTGAGGAGGATGGACAGCAGCAATAGAGGAGTTCTGGCTGTAATCCTCAGTGTGTACATGCTTCCTGGGATGCAGCTGGGTTTGGGAATCAGTGCGTTTAAACCTCCAGACCTCTCCACGAGTGCGGAGTGAGTTTGCGCGTGCGGACAAAGCGTGTTGCGTCTCAAGTGTGCAGTGAATACAACGCTTTCTGATGGTTCGTTTGCAGAAGAATAGCGCGTTTCATCCCGCTCCGTCGAAAGGTGTTCGTCGACCGCCGCTGATCCCGTTCAAGCGTCCCGAAGTCTCCTGATGGAAAAGCGAGCGAGTGACTGCAGCTCCTCGGGACGTAGGACGGATCCATCGCGAGGGAGGGAAGCGAATCTGCGAATCCGACTCCGGCGAAGGCGCAGCTCATTAATATTCATTACCCTCAATCAGCAGGCCCGCTTGATTTGCTGGAACGCAAACGTTGATTGGCTAATGAATATTAAAGAGGTCACGTGTCACGACGCTCCAAGAAGGTTATCAGGAATTTCTAGCCATAGTAGGATTAGTGAATTGGAAATGGGATTAGAAATTTGAAAACCTTGAAAAAACACGACACCTAGTGGTGAAAAAAGATAAAAAAATGTATTAAAAGAAAAAAAATTATTTAGCGAGGATGCATTCATTTAATCAAAATTTACAGTCAAGACGTTTGCGTCGTTACAAAAGATTTATATGTCAAATAAATGCTGTTTTTTTTACTTTTTATTAATTAAAGAATCCATAAAAAATGATAAATCTTCACAAAACTTTAAGCAGTGCAATTGTTTTAACAGTGATAATAAAAAGAAATGAATAATCAATAAACAATCAAATCAATTAAAATCGATCAAATCCAATTCTTTAAAAAAAAAAGAGATTCCATGCTTGTTTTCAACATTTAAACCCTGACCAGACATCTCTCACGTTTCAAATTCACATGTAGAGAATTCACAAATATAGAGAATTATACAGGGCTAGGAACAGGTTTGCGTATCTGCATCTCTGTTTATGAGACTGTCAGCTGTGTGGAAGGATCATACTTTCATAGCTGCCAGAATTTCATAACCAAATACAATTAAACAACACTAAATAAATAAAGCACAACGTTTCCTTTCCATATTATGCACATTACAGTTTCATATGAATGCATACACATTCTAAAATGAGCCAGCTAAACATTTTTATTGATTATAACATTTACAAATGTAAAAACAAAAGTTTCTTGAGCAGCAAATCAGCATATTAGCATTGTGAAGCGTGACATAAAATTAAAGAGAAGTCTATTTTTAATTGAACAGTTTAGTGAACCTTTAGACTGTTGCTGTCAAACGATTAATCGCGATTAATCGCATACAAAATAAAAGTTTGTGTTTACATATGTGTACTGTGTATATTTATTATGTATATATAAATACACACACATACAGTAAATATTAAGAAAATATTTACATGCATATATTTATATTCTTACATTGTATATTATATATAAATATATTTAACGTATAAACATAGCATTTTTCATGAATATATATACATGCATGTGTTTGTATTTATATATACATAATAAATATACCCAGTATACACATATACTATGTAAACAAAAACTTTTATTTTGGATGCGATTAATCGTTTGACAGCACTAATATAAATAAATAAATAAATGTGTTTTGATGAATATATTTGCTATATCAGGATTTTATGGCTCATTTTATGGATATTCAGAGGCCTAAAATTTACAAAAATTGCCAAAAAAGATGAAATTCTTATAGCTTGTAATGAGATCTTTAAATAAAATAAATAAATAAGTATAGTGGATACTTACATAAGATGCATATAAATATCATTTGTCGATGACTGAGAAGTGAACAAATAAACATACTTAAAACTTAAAAGCTTGATGATATTTGATAGTTTAACATGATTTAAAACCAAAATAATAATAATAATGTCTGGATAATCAAGTAAAGCTAAGCTGCTTCAGTCCAGTACGTGTTCATCTTGAAATATTACCAACAATAAAAGTTATTCTCATATTTACTTTAGAAAAACCAGATTTTACAGCAAAAACACACATGAACCTTAAGCTGAAGGTGGACGTTTGTACAGTTACACTAAACGTCCAGTGACGACTGAAGGCACTGCAGCTTTCAAATATGATTCAGTAGGCAATTTATTATTGGAGATGAAAAAGATCATAAAAACTAGTGCAACGATACGATTTAAAGGCTGAAATGTGTTTTATTCTTGAAATAGAATTTGAAAACAAAATGACAGATTCAAACCCAGATCAAATTTGATATCTCTACTACTGTGTGCAAGCGTATGCTCTTGACTCAGTGCACGCACAATGCATTCAGTTACCAAAAGAGTCTAAACTAGAATAACTGCATTATTCAGAAAACAACTCGTATAGTGCATAAACACCGTGAAATGATTTTCATGTGTAAAGAAGCAACTCTTTGGTCAAAGGTAACAAAGGAATGTAAATATTAGCGTATATAAAAAAATGACTATATATAAAATAATTATTATTTTTTTATGGCATATTTATTGTTGATTAGTCAAGACCTCCCATCGTTATTCAAGACATAAATAGGTTTGATGGTGCACACCAACTGCAAACAGCGGGAAGAACCAGCGCTGCATTTATTTCAATGTGAAATGAAGACTAAAATAATCAACATTATCTGTACAGCAGGTATGGAAAACATAAATACAATACAAACAGGTTCAATCAGTGTATTCATCCATTCGAGTTGTGTGCAGTCCAGGTCTTCAGGGTCAAAGGTCACCGAGCCATCATGGCTCTGTCACGCCTGATCTCACGTCAGTGACTCTCGTCATTTCAGGATCTTCACTGCTGCTTCTCGAATGCACTGCGCTGCTTTCTCGATCTCCTCCTGCGTCTGCTCAACAGTCACGACGACTCTGATGCTGAGGACACACACGCTCAAAAACATCAGTTTTACAGCAAAACATGATTCCAGAGGTTTCACTGATGAAATAGCTCACAGCTAATCACCTTGGCGGTGGAAGAAAACGCTCGTCTTTGTCCAGGTATCGAGCCAAAGTGAGTGCGATCTGTCTTTCCAAACTCTACAGAAAGGACCAAAAATAAGAGATTTACACAGCATTTACTATACTATACAGGAATTCACAATGTACCTTTTATTTCCTTTAATACATTTCTGCGATACATTTCTCTTTCATAAGTTTTAAAGCAATTAAAATGTTAAAAACTTTCTCTGCCTCTGAAATTACTTTCTTTTTCTGGTTATATAGCCAAGGGTTAATTAATGTTATAAAACTGGCAATTCCAACTCTAAATTGTGATTGGATGAGCCATGTTTAAAAATTGTTGTAAATGCTGATAGCACATTCTACATTGAATGGTTAAGTTGCACCCATAAGCAGCCTACAATCAAACTTGATGAAATAATTGTTTATTCTAGTTATTAATAAAAATACATTTAATTATTTATTGAACACTGGAGCATCTTACATGGCTGTTTTATTCAATTCAACACTGCACTGTGCTTCTCAACTATATTGAGCAGGCTGATTATGTTGATAAAATCAGATTTTAAAAATTTTTTAATTTGGCGTAAATGTTGTGTAGCAATGCTTTCTGCAATTTAAATATTGTGTGCATTTCATTTTATGCATAGTGGCGACAACGACAGAAATATCTCTGAAAACCATTTTTCTCCAACTGTACACACTACTGTTTAAAAGCTTGGGGTCGACGAAATTTTTAATGTTATTGAAAAGTTTCTTATGTTCACAAAGAACATAAATACAGTAAAAACAGCAATATTGTGAAATATCATTTCATGTGATGCATCCTTGTTGAATAAAAGTATTACTTTCTTTAAAAAAAAAAAAGAATGAAATAAAATAAAAATCTTACTGAACCCAAACTTTTGGATGGTAGTGTAGCTTCATTTTGGTCTCTAATGTTCACTTTTCATGATCCAGGTTAGGGATGGGCGATATCGTATCGTTTGCTACTACAGAAGCACGTGTGCGATACAGTTTTGCATGTGTATGAGCCTGTTTACAAACCTGTTGTCCAACAAAGAGATTTACTGACATACTTCTACTGCAAATTCACTTTGTAACATCAGTCGAGTGTTTGAAATAACTTATTTTTGTGACCAGACCTGGTTTTATATCACAGAATGAGGCAGAAATCCTATGTCGATTAGCATTGCATTATTAATATACTTTATTCTTATAAAAATACCCAAGATGGCTTGAAAAACACAGATAAACCCATATATTGTCACAAGTGTGTGTTTATTGTCTTTACGTTTGATCAGCTTAAGCATTTCTATCTTCTTTTTACTCCATATGTCTTTTTCTCCATATTAGGGATTTCACGGAACTTCATCAGTTATTACTTCTGTGATGCATATGTGGAGCTTCTGCGCGAGGGCGCCCTCTAGCTTCCAGTATGAATGAAACCGACATTACATTACGTGTGTGCTCACAACACCCTATTTTTTTCTCTCTCAGTGGATGCATACGAATTATCGTAATTTATATCGTCATTGCAATAAGTACCAGAAAATATAGTTTTAAGTCCATATCGCCCATCCCTAATCCAGATAATAACCAACTGATGAACGTTTTTTGCCCTATATTTTCTTTTTGAACTGGTAAATACTTCATATTACAAAAGTACGTTGTTTGCGGCAATATTATTTTCATTATTACACGAGCAACACGTTCAGCCATATGCCATGATAACCACATTAAGACAACTGACTTGTTATCTGTGATCTGCTGTTGTAACGTACGTAATCGACAATCGCTCGGAGCAGCTTCAGGTCATTTGTTCTGGATCCGGTGCTGTTTTCCAGCTGCAGATGAAGAGCAGGAGCTAAAGGCTCGCCGGCCACCTTCAGCCCTGGAGTCCTGCAAAAAACGCCACTGAAATCATCACTAATGCCCACAAAAAACACAACCAGCCAACCGGTGTATGAGGTCAGGAATGACTTCTGAGATATCTGGCATTTAGATTATTATTGCTCATAATAACTTACATAACATTGATTTTGGTTTCAAAAATTGTTTAATGTTTTTCTTTTTCATGAAAAAAAGGAGGTAAAATGGACTTGCCCTTGTAGTGCTTTCTGGACGTGTTTGCAATTTTCCTGTAACACCCTGAAAATGCCTGCGAGAGAAAATGAAAGAAATACAGCAATTACTGTGATGTTTTGCCCAAAACATGCTCTACACAAGAAAGTGAATGCATGTAGTTTGCTGATCTGAATAATAATACATACAGTTTCATGGCATTTTGAGAAAACTATATGACCCGCTTGAGTACTGAGGTCTGTTACTCTGGTTTACATATATATTTGCATTTTTTAATAAACATTTTTCTGTTTGGCCAAAAAGTGCTGTAAGCATTTTGACATATCTAAAGAATAATCTTTTTTATCATTTTTTCAAATACTTTGTGAAATACTTTTTATTTTAGTAATGTTATGTCAAATAAATTTAATTTAATTGCAGCAATTTTTCGACTTTTTTTAAGTTAAGTAGTGGGATATCAGATATTTCAGCTTTATATTGGCCATTTTGCTCTACAAAAACAATAACAACAAAAACATACCGGTCAACCACTAGTTAAGTTCGCAGTAATGCAAGAACGCACATTAAGTATGTACATTGAGACTGCACACTTGCAGTTCATAATTTGTTTTTGTTTGTGTGTGTGTTTGCATACGAGAACGTTTTAGGCCTAAAAATACGTAACAGAGATCAAAAGATCCAGATGCCGGAAAGCTCACTGTATTCATTGACGATTACAGGATAAGGATTTTAATCCGTTTTCAGACAGAAACTTCTACCGGATTAAATATTTCACAGCGGAGCATAACTAGAAAAATGTAGATTCGCTACAGAGACTCATTCAATTTCTGTCCCTAGTCGCCAAGGTGCTCGGAGCTGTTTCTATATGGTTGCTTTTGGCCCAAGTCAAAAATAGTGAAGGATATAGTGGCCCATTGATATGACATAGTTTGCTTGTCAGAGTAAGTCTGCTGGATTTTGTTTCCTTTTAACGTTAGCCAAGCAAAAGTATTATCATACATTAGGTTTTATCTGAATGCCTTAACTAAATGTGACTAATAATAATAGTAATGCTGGCCTAGCAAATACGGTTAAAAATAATGCCCATTCTCTATATTAAAGTATGTTTGAGCGTCACTGCATATGGTTTGGATCAGCTGATTATCAGAGGGTCTCTTTAAAGTCCAGCCAATTCATTTAGCGGAAACACTTAGGCAGAAAAGAAATGCTCAGTCAGGAGGGAAAATACTCATATTCCACGTGTATATATGAGGAGGTAGATTTAGCAAATGAAAAAGTTAATAATATACTAAATAGCTAGAGAAAATAAAATGCATTTGTTTTTGTTAATGTCAATGTTGTTACCTGGATCTTCCTCCATGATGTTGAGGGCTTCAATAGCAGCAGAGGCCAGCATGGGTGGAAGAGACGCTGAGAAACAGTAACCCTGACCCGACAGACGCTGACAACATGAGAAAACACATTCATATTCAATCGCCAGTTCACACCATAAGATATTAATGTTCATTTCTGAGTACAATAATGATGGGAAGCAGAAACTCTTCTTTAGAAGGCAAGCAGTGAAGTGATTTTCACAAAGGCTATACAACACGTATCTAAACAAAGCTCGGTGGGCCATAATGACTCAGACATGAGAAGTTTGGAGACAGTGGTACCTGGTGGAAAAACTATGCAAGCCACTGAATTTTTTTTTTTTTTGTATTCTGGTTTTTGTAATATGTTTGTTTCTGCTTTGTGTATTTGTGGATTATGGTTCTTACCATCAACCTGCCAGGGAATGCAGATGAAAATTAGCCTGAATGACTAAATCTGGCACATTTACATAGTAGACTTGTTTACTCGTGTTAATTCATGTGTATTGTCCCTTTTAAATAAAATAAAAACAAACAAACAAACAAAAAATAAAGGTAACTGCGACATTTAATCTCACAATTCTGACGTTTTTTGGAATTGCAAGTCATCATCTCACAATTCTGACTTTTCTTCTAAGATTTGCGAGATATATAGATGCAGTTGTGTGTTATGAAGTCAGAATTGCAAGATATAAACTTGTGAGAGAAAAAAAAATCAGAATTTTTAGATAAAATGTCGCAATTACCTTTTTAATTAAAAATATTATTCAGTGGTGTAGACGGGCTTCCGTAAAAAAAATAAACTTTTAAGAATGATATAAAGTGATCAATTATAAATATGCTTATAACTTTCCATGCAGAGTCCAACAATACCACATGCATTAAGGTCAGCAATATCCATTTGAATAAGATCATAAACCACTGGATCTTTGTAACACATATTTAAGACATATTTAATCTTTGGGGGAAAACAATTTAGTACAAATCTTCACCAAAATTGGACTCACAGGTTATCACAGTAAGTTATTGATTTTTGAGTCTTAAGGGGCATTTTTCAAAGTAATTAGGCAATAAAATTGACTGTGTCAATGCCAAACAAGAAACAAGGCCATTAATCCACTGGCATATTCAAAATATTTCTTTACAATGTTAATAAGGAATTTAAATGTTTTTTATTTTAATATTTATACGAAGTCTTTGATATTCAACTGAAGTTGGTCTTGTAATTGCTGTAGCCTGCTGCTATGCTTCTCATTATAATATATTTCAAGACTTAAACTTGAAGTTTTCTAGAGCGACCGTTTTCTCATCAGTGAAAGCGACTGTATGAAAATCTGCAAACGCTGCACAAACTGCTCAGATTATTGACGCTCCATATGCATTTAAATAGAGCGCGAGGATTCACTTCCTTCACATCACTAAAGGGAAGAATGGATCTGATATGATCCGTGTGAAGTTATATGAAAGTCAAATAGGCAAGGAAAAGAATAAATCACTTATCACAGTACTTGGTGTATCAAAACTCACATGTAAAGAGGATTGCATAATGTGTCATATCAGAGGATTCCTGTCGATTACAAACCCTTAGATCAGTGGTCTCAAACTCAATTCCTGGAGGGCCACAGCTCTGCACAGTTTAGCTCCAACCCTAATCAAACACACCTGATCCAGCTAATCAAGGTCTTCAGGGTTATTAGAAACTTCCAAGCAGGTGTGATTTGGAGCTGGTTGGAGCTAAACTTTGCAGAGCTGTGGCCCTCCAGGAATTGAGTTTGAGACCAATGCCTTAGATAGTCTAAAGATCAGGTGTGTTTGATTAGGGTTGGAGCTAAACTGTGCAGAGCTGTGGCCCTCCAGGAATTGAGTTTGAGACCAATGCCTTAGATAGTCTAAAGAAACTGTGTTATTTAACAGACAGGATTTCTGATGCAAGAGCTTCTGCTTTTCTAGGGATCTGGATCACATTTCAGTGACTATAGGTTACCTGAGGATAATTGTGCTCTTATGTCCAGATTTAAAAACGCATATGTATATAATTACAGTTTTATCTTCAGAATATAGAAACCATATGTACAGAAACATACATCAAAAGAAAATTATTTTGATCATTTAAACAATAACCAGAAAGCCAAACCTTTTGAGAGTATGTAAAATACACGCTGACTAATAAAATCCTTTGCTTACTGAATACAAAGACAAACCCAACATCAGATATTAAGATTAAAGAATATTTCAGGTTATTTTCGGCTGCCAGTATTTGCTGTATTAAACACATCCCCTATTCACAGATGTACATACAGTGAGTCAAAATGATTGTCTGTGGAAAAATGAACAACGAGCCACAGGTGATGTAAATAAAAATTAGGCTAAAGCTAGGATTTCTGCTTTCTGGCTTCCATTCAAAGTTGGATGTAGGATATTCCTATGCAATATCTCTGACTTTAGACCATAAAGTTGAAGATAACGTATACTTCACATTAGCTTTGCAGTCTTTCTGAGTTGAATAGAACGCTATAGTAAACATTATGCTGAATATACCTTTAACAAATTGTCATTTTAGAAAGTATGCACAATGGTGCAAATCAGTTATTGCTGTTTTGTAGTCATACCTGATGATCAATAACGAACGATCGTCCACAGCAGAAACCTCCGATGGACGCCAGTGCATTCTCCATGTTGGCACTGATGAGGTCAATATCATCGATCTGAAATTAAACACATGCAGTTTTTGCCGAATCGTTATTTTACACCCGAGTTCCTGAAACCGTAGAGAAGTTTATATTACGTACGTTGACCCCAAAATGCTCTGTGACTCCTCTTCCGTGTTCTCCAAGCACTCCGAAAGACATGCTCTCCTCCAGAAAGATTCGCACTTTATATTTGTACTTCAGTTTCACCTGGAAAACAAGATGCAAGAGCAAAAACATCAGTCCATGTGGAAAATGTAACCAGTGAAATATAGCAATAGCAGTACTTCAAACGTAAATATAAATTATACAGTGTTCTGATTGTTTTTAAATGTGTTCTTGGTGGTTCAGATGTAGGTCTATAGCTATGTTTCCATTAGAGCCCGACCGATATGGGTTTTTGGGGGGCCGATACCGATACCTATATTAAGGAGTAAAAAAAAGGCAGATATCGATATATCAGCCGATATTCTTTGTGTATATTATAGTACAGTACCAATCAAAAGTTTGGACACTTTCCTATTCGTGTGTCCAAACATTTGACTGGTACTATATATAGAATACATTATATACATAAACAGAATATATATACATAAACACATTTTTTGCAATGATCACTCAAATGTGGTGATCAAACACTTATAATGACATGACAGAGATATGTAACGGAGGCAGGGCATTTAACAATTAATTCACGCTAGACAAGACCCTTATTCCTTGTCTGGGATCGTGTAGAACACTTTGAAGCTGCACTGAAGCTGCAATTTGGACCTTCCACCCAGTGAACCCCACTGAAGTCCACTATATAGAGAAAAACCCTGGAATGTTTTCCTCAAAAACCTTAATTGTTTTTTCGACTGAAGAAAGAAAGACATGAACATCTTGGATGACATGGGGGTGAGTAAATTATGAGGAAATTTTAATTCAGAAGTGAACTAATCCTTTAAGCTTTAAAGCGTTTCATCCAGGTCGCCAGTAGCAGCCAATGGAGCGCGCTCTGCTGGACAAACTACGTAATTACACCATTTACATGCATTTTATCTGCGTTTTATGTTCTGTAAAAAAATGCTCATATCGGTGATATATCGGCGGCATATTCGCCGATACCGATATATCTGCTGCAGGCTAATATCGTCCGATAAAATCAGCAAAATATTGCATAAAAACCGCTGGATGGAAATGTCAAGATGCGCATAAATTCTAAAAATGCGCATAAAAAAGTTATGCACACATTTGAGTAGGATAAACGTTTTATCCAGTAAGAAAAAATGTGCATAAACTATGATGGAAACACATTTACCGAATAAATTCCTCCATGCGCATCGAAAAAGTCATGTGACTTTGCGCTATGAGATGGGATAACTTGACTAGCCGCGGACCGATCTCGTTCACAGCATCTATATGTTGTTATGGTCATTCTGAAATGCCTGAGAAAAGTCTGTCATTAAAGTATTTCTGTATAATCGTCTTACACAACTGCGTTCCCAAACAGCAGCATCCGCCTCCGAAAGCAATGACTGCATTTATTGTGTTACATCTGCTCGCTCTGAGGCGCAAGTAATTTATCATATATGAAAATTATTATATTCAGTGGCTTCTCCTAGTTTTCTAAGTGATATTTAGTGCCAGTTTACCAGGAAGTGACGATTTTGTTCTCTTTGACTCGTTGGATGGAAACTGTGCTTTATTCGCAAAAGTTTATGCGATATTCCAGTTTTGCGCATAAGTTTAATTCAAATCTTTGGATGGAAACATAGCTTATATAAGGCCTCATTTACACTGTCAGTTAAATGTGATTTTTTGCTCATATGTGACACCGATCGGATGTGTTCTATGAGTGTGTAAACAGGAAAAAAACGCATGCATTCGGATATTCGAGATCGGTTTCAGGCCTCATTCATGTGTGGAAATAAATCAGATATAAATTAGATATAAAGCGACTGTCATGTAAACAGGCAGATCGGATTTTCTGAGGTTTGCGTTCTGAACGTCATTAAAATTGCCAAAATTTCGTACTTCTCTGTGGTTTAATTACAAGATATTATTCTCAGGAGGAAGCACGTGTGGAGACGGTAAATGACAAATACTGCAAGGGATAAAAATTACTGTTCGAAGTTAAAACAAAATTATTGAAAAAAATTTATATAATTGGAGCTTTTCTTGTTTAACAAGAAAATACCATTCTACCAGTCTACTTTCTTTTTACTTTTAAAGGGACAATTCACCCAAAAATGGAAATTTGGATAAACATGGATAAACAGCTCAATTCATATGGATTTATTTAAATCTCTTAACGAATGTTTTGAAGCGTTAGAGTTTTGGGTGAATAGACTTCTAACGGAGGAATTAAAAAAAATCTTCATTTGTGTTTCAAAGATGAACAAAAGTATAACGGGTTTGGAACGACATGAGGGTGACAATTTTCATTTTTGGGTGAACTATCCCTTTATTACAATGTGTTTCTTTGAACGTATTTGTAAAATTTACTCACAGTTTGTGAGTGAAACTTGTTTCAAAGTAAATCCAACACCATTTTCTTTTTAGTATAGCATTAGTGATGCTTTCCTTAGCAAACACCACAGAGTCAGATGACACAAACAGTGCTTTCAGAAAGTAGATTTTTTTTTTGTTCACATTTTGTTGTTTCAGCTTATACACCATACCATATGTGACCCTGGACCACAAAACCAATTATAAGGGTCAATTATTTGAAATTGGACGAGATACAACTATTTGAAAATCTGGAATCTGAGGGTGCAAAAAAATCTAAATATTGAGAAAATCATCTTTAAAGTTGTCCAAATGAAGTTCTTAGCAATGCATATTACTAATCAAAAATTAAGTTTTGATATATTTACGGTAGGAAATTTACAAAATATCTTCATGAATCATGATCTTTACTTAATATCCTAATGATTTTTGGCATAAAAGAATAATCTATAATTTTGACCCATACAATGTATTGTTGGCTATTGCTACAAATATACCCCAGCGACTTACTGCTTTTGTGCTCCAGGGTCACATATGATGATAAAGCAAAAAACAGATTTGTGATAACTTTGCACATTTATTAAAAAGGAAACCTGTTTAAAAAGCTGTCTTACCAGTTCAGGTAGTGGACAGAGATCTGCAGTGTTGATATAGAGTCCCTCAACGACAATGAACCGCCGGATTACTTTCGCCTTGCGTGGATTCTAAAGAAAAACACAAAAATAATAAGAATGAATGAACAAGCGTGTATACCTGTATAGTGAAACATCAAACATCAAATGCTAGAGGTCTTTTGAGTGGTTGTTAGTGTGGATTGATCATGTAAATGTCAATCTTACTGCACTTTATTCATCTGTGCATGTTTTACTAAAGTAAAGTTTGTTTTTGTAATCTTGCATCAAAAAGGAACAATTTTCTCTACTTCAAAAACATTTCTGTTGACAAAAAGGCCACATGGACAGAGAAAAATTTTATAATAACCGATAAAGTCACTTTTCACTGTAGTCACATCCCAATTGTTAAAATCGGTGATGCTTTATTTTAATGCAGTGTACACAAAAAAGTACTGAGTAAAATTAATTAACAAAATATATTAAATACAGGGTTAGGATTACTTTTACTTTTAGTCATTTAGCAGACGCTTTTATCCAAAACAAAACAAAAGGTATGAGTAGGGGTGTGCGATATTGACAAAAAATAATATCTCGATATTTTCTGGGATTTTATGGATAACGATAATTAGACGATATTTTGCGGAGTGTGTTATTGTGCTGATATCTTAAGGACTGCCGAAGACAGCGGACTCCTAAAGTTTTTGATATTCTTCATAACCTGTTTGGTGGTCAGTTCATACTGATAGAAATTAATCTTTTCCAATAAGGTTAAACTGATTTTAACATTTTATGGGCATTTTTACCTTTATAAAGCCATTTTTTCTAAAAGTGTCCATTATCTTTTGAGTAAAATTCTTACATTTAATCAGGGCATTACGTTTGATTCATGGTGTCTAATATGTCTCTTAATTAACTCCGTGTTTAGCACATTTCACATTTGTAATCATTCATTAAAAAAAAACGGCACTCTTTGTTTGATATTGAATAACTATATGAAGTGGTATAAATATATACATTTTCTGCCATCATGTCATGAATTTGTGATCATTCTAAATGTATTGTAGACTGAATCATGCAGTGAAAGAACGCCTTCTAAATGTGCACGCGCACTAGTTTAAACTTCACGTAATGTATGCGTGCCTGTAGGGGTGTTTTTAAAGGTTTTTGCAAAATACTTGATAACGTCAAATCACACATCGTTAAAACAACGATTAAGATATTATCACAGACGATATATATCGCACACCCCTAGGTATGAGTATAATAATGATTCTAACATAACACTAAGCCAAACACCAAAAAACAACTACATATGTGTATGTACAGCCACACACATATACATATACACGTACATATATATATAAATACATTCAATATACATATATATATATTATTTCATTTCCATTTTGTATGTTGAAGTACTGAAATAACTCAAATTAAATAAAACTAAAACTTAATAAAAAACCTATATAGACATAATAAAAAACTAATAAAATGACAACATTACTACAACTGTAACTAAATCTAAAATAGATAACTAATACAAATCAAACTACATTAGTTTATCAGTAATCCTAAAAAAAAATAACACTGAGCCAAACACACATGCTAAAATAACAACAACTTACTTACACATAGTAAGAAATGGTTATAAAAACTGAAACTGAAGTGAAACAAGTATTAGGAAAGAGGATAAATAAAAAGCAATACTTATCCTTTGCCGGTGTCCCTGCCCGGATAATTACTGTTTGTTGTTTGTAATTATGCATAATTTAATTTACTATAGTAAGAAAATGTAACATGTAAGAAGGACACTGTAAAATTAAGTGCTACCTTAAAATCAAGTCTGTATCATTTACTTTAATATTTATATACTGCACACTACGTTTCTATGGAAGGCCATGTTACTCAAAATTAATCATTAAATAAATGTTGAAATATATAAATAAATCGTTAAATAAATATTTATTTATTTATTTCATTCACTCCACATTCATTCATGAAGTGCCGACAACCGTAACCCTAAAAAATGTAATGTGGAGGAAATAAATAACTGTATAAATAAATAAAAATGAATAATTCAATAAATCAATATATAAATGAATGAATGAATATTTATGCATTTCTTTATTTCTTTAATTATTTAATTGTGTTATTTAAAGATTTATTTATATTTTTCAGCATTTATTTAATTTTGACTAATTGGCCTTCCATACGTTTCACCAGGACATATGGCATAAATGCATGTCGTGTCTGAATTTCTCTTCAGTGTGAGCTGTTGAAATCCCTCCTCACCTTCTGATCTTCGATCTCCTGCTCCTTCAGAAGGCGCTCCAGATCCTCCATATCGTTGTGCTTGAAGTACTTGACGAAGCTGCGTGAAGCCTGCAGGCCTTTCTGAATGGAGAAGCAGGCCGCCTCGTCACTGAGAAAACATGACAGACAGATCAGGACGCTTTATCATCTCTGTGGAAAGCCTGTTGGGTTCAGCAGGATCTTACACAAAGATGATGTCTCCTCTCTTGGAGTACGCTGGGATAGCGCTGGCGATGGTGGCGAAGCCGTACGAGTAGATAATGGCCTCCTCTGTTCTCATGAACTTCGCCAATCGCTCCTCTAACTCCAGATGAACATCTGTGAAACATTTCAATGCTGTAAACTGACGCAGCAACACGAGACAGACACCTGAGATGATCAATCTACCGACCGAAGGTCCCATAGAAGCCTCTCGGTCCACACGTCCCCACACCGTATTTCTTCAGCGACGACAAAGCCTTCAGCTGAAAACAAATAAATAAAATAAAAAATATATTTTAATCAGGAACAGAATTTCACCTTTGACATGCCTCATTGAGTTAATCACAATTGTCATCATTTACTTTGCTTAATACATGTTGCCTAACCCTAACGCTCAGTTTGCGTTCTCACACCACAATGTTTATGACTCACTTCCAATAAAAACATGTTTTTAATGTTAATAACGTCACAACAACAGTAAAATAGGGAAAACTACTGTGAAAGGCATTTCATGTTGTCTTAAAGGAATCTGGTATATGTGGTATATAGCAGTGCTGAGTTTATATTTATATTTATGCATTTGGCTGGCAAAGGCTTTTATCCAAAGGCATACAGTTGATATACTGAACTGAACCCACAACCTTGGAATTGCTTGAGCCATGCTTAGTGCCACTAACTAAAAAGTTAAGCTGGAGTTTGGAAACAGAACAATTATTACATTTTGTTGAAAGGTTATGATGATAGAATTATATTTTTAAAAATAGAGACAACTTAGATTTAATGTTAACTTGAGAAGTTAATGTAAATAATTTGTACCTTTCGTTATTGGCTTTTTAATTCAACAGAAGATAATTAATTTGTTTCTGTGTGTCATTACATTAGTTGAAAACTTTAAAACAAAACATTTATTTATTTATCTACCATTCATAGTTGAAGAAAGATTTTACTTTAAGCAAAGATGCATTCAATTGATCAAAAGTGACAGTACAAGCATTTAAACTGTAGCTAAAGATTGTAAATCCTATTCATTATTTTTTTCCAGAAACATATTTAACATTGATAATAATCAGAAATGTTTCTTGAGCAGCAAATCATAATATCAGACTGATTTCTGAAGATCATGTGACACTGAAGACTGCAGTAATGATGCTGAAAATTCAGCTTTGATCACAGAAATAAATTACATTTTAACATAGATTTAAATAAAAAAGTATTTTTTTAATTGTAACAATATTTCACAATTTTACTCTTTTTAATCCCATAAATGCAGCCTTGGCAAATATTTAAAAAAAACATTAAAAACTCTTACAGCTGGTAAGTGCAAGTGCCATTTAAACTACGCCTTTCAAATCAGATCCACCGCTGATATTTGTATTCATCAAGCTGTATTTAGCATTAAAGAGCAAACTGCACACTACAATCAGCAGCAGCTGTGATGTGTGTGAATCTGACGAATGGAAAAGCACTCGTAATGCTACAAACCTTTACGCGCTCGCTGTCGAGCAGACCCAGGAAGTTAAATGAGGCAAAGTTAATGCACTCTTTCCCATTCACAATGATTCTGTGGCTTGGAGGCCTGTAAAAGAAAAGCACGGCTTATTATTACACCAGACGCAGCAGACAGAGCTGATGGAGACACGCGGACCCAAATAAGAGGTTTCTTCAGAAACGTCTCCACTTGCTGAATGTACGCTGAAACAGCACAGACGTACCCCGTGACCACATCATAATTGAGGGAAGGATGGTCTTTCGATACGAGGGGAACCAGGGTCTCGGGCTGCCACTCCTCAATCAACTCCTCTTTCTCCTGAAACACACAGAGATAAAGGACATGAAGAACACTTTACAGGGGTTTATATGTGACCCTGGACCACAAAACCAGTCTTAAGTGTCAATTTTTCAAGATTTATAAACCATCTGAAAGCTGAATAAATAAGCTTTCCATTGATGTAAGGTTTGTTAGGATCGGACGATATTTGGCTGAGATACAACTATTTGAAAATCTGGAATCTGAGGGTGCAAACAAATCAAAATATTGAGAAAATCATCTTTAAAGTTGTTCAAATGAAGTTCTTAGCAATGCATATTACTAATCAAACATTAAGTTTTAATATATTTACAGTAGGAAATGTACAAAATATCTTCATGGAACATGATCTTTACTTAATATCCTAATGATTTCTGGCATAAAAGAAAATGCAAATGTCTATAATTTTGACCCATACAATGTATTGTTGGCTATTGCTACAAATATACCCCAGCGACTTAACACTGCTTTTGTGCTCCAGGGTCAATATATTAGGTACTGAACATGAACTAACAATGAAAAATACTTGTAAAGCATTTATTAGTCTTATTTAGTGTTGATTGATTTCAACATCTACTAATACATTATTTTAATCAAAAATTGGTTCTGTTGGTATTATTTAATCAACCTTATCTAATGACAATCAACAGTATTTTTATTACATTAACAAAAATAAATAATAAATACTGTAACAAATGTATTGCTCATTGTTAATGCATTAACTACTGTTTACTAATGGGGCCTTATGTTGTAAAGCATCACTGAGAAAGCTTATAAAATCAAAGCAAGTTTTCCAAGTTACTGGATCAGTTTCTGATTATCGGTATATCAATCATTCCATGATTTCTGGAATCATATTGTGATTTACTTTTACAAATTTATAAATTGTTGTTAGTTATAACTTAGTATTCTTTTTTTGTATTGATCTTGTGCAGGTTTGAGTTTGGTTAATTGCAACCAACTGAATAATGATCAACTACAGTTCTATAGTAAACAACTAACAAACAGCAAATTCATAATTCACGTGAATATTTAAAGATAAATGTGTAGCATTTTATTAATGAGAATGAAAAAAGCTCCAAAAAGTAGAAAAGTCGCTTTACTTGGATACAAAACGTGCAGAATATGACACAAATATTTCACCATTCAAATGTCTGAGGTCAGTAAGACATTAATATGTTTATTTAGAAAGGATGGACTGAATCGATTAAAAGTGAGAGTAGACATATTTGTACTGCTACAAAAGATTTCTATTTCAAATAAATGCTGTTCTTTGAAACTTTATTTATAAAAGAACCCTGAAACATATGCATCCCTGTTTCCACAAAAATATGAAGCAGCACATTCTTTGAGCACTGATAATAATTAATAATAGGGATGTAGCGATTCACTCAACTCACGATTCGATTCACGATTTAGTTTTTTTTGTTTTTTACAAAATGAGATTTAAGACAAATTATAAATTAAATGTGTCCTTTTATTATTGCTTGGACAAAATACTTAATAATAATAATAATAATAAAAAGTTTCTCAAGCAGCAAATCAGCATATTAGAATGATTTCTGAAGATCATGTGACACTGAACACTGGAGTAATGATGCTGAAAATACAGCTGCGCATCACAGAAATACATTACATTTCAATATATATAACATTGGAAAACGTTATTGGGAATCGTAATAATATTTCACAATATTACTCTTTTACTATACTTCTGATCAGATAAATGCAGCCTTGGTGAGCAGAAGAGACTTTGAAAAACAGTACAAAATTAAACCGACCCCCAAACTTTTGAACAGCGGTGTACAATAAGGTGCTTGAATCACCAAACACTCAAACATTATAAAATGAACTATAATGGACCTCTCACCTTCTCTGTGAGGTCTGATCTCTCCTGAAGTTTATATGTTTTGGAAAACAGCAGTCTGATAATCCACAAAATGAGGATACCTTCTAAAACCAAATGATATGCTGGTGCCTAGAAGAGAAAATAACGAGACTGTTATAATAACACAAACTGCATGATTCACATTCTACATCAATGTTTTTAACTGGAGGACGTATTGCTTAAGATGTAGATAACAACGCTGACTATTTGTAACACCTTTAAAAAGTGTGCATGAATCTGCTCGTTTTAAGAGGTTTATCAGATGTCTGTACGGCATTATCAGGATTTCCAGATCAGGCATCTAAGTGTGCTGCTGGCTTGACAAGACAATAGTTTATTCTATTTCATTAGTAAAGCTGACTATTTATTGTCCATTAGTGTCTTGTCTTATAACGGTGAAAGGAAAGTTTGTTGTGGCTTATTGATTTATTTCTCGCATAAATCTTTACTCTCCCACAAACATGTGCATTTCAACGGAGGAAATACATCGTACAGGTTTGTTGGCAGTTTAATCACCCGTCCTAACACACACACAGAGGAAATAAATGGAGCTGCAGCATTAAGAAGAAACCGCACACAGCCCATAACAACTATTTCATCCATTTACACCGAAATACACTTACAGTTGTAGTTACTACAATGACTTGGATTCAGCCACAAAATGAAAGACCGATCTCGAAAGCTTACATTTTTAAGGAGAACTCTTATAATAAATAAGAGTAATAAAGTCTAGTATTGTGGCAGGTATGTAATGTACCTTTGTGTGAGTCTCACCTGTCTGTTTAACAGTTTAATACTGTTTATCACTGTTTATCACTGTTTAACACTGTTTAACACTGTTTAACACTGTTTATCACTGTTTAACACTGTTTAACACTGTTAATCACTGTTTAACACTGTTTAACTGTTTAACACTGTTTATCACTGTTTATCACTGTTCACTGCACTTCCTGGAGTTAATACTCAGGATTATATGTGAAGGAGAGCCAAATACACGCACACAGCCCAGTGCTGTTTAAATTAATAAACTTGACAAAGCCTGCCGATATTTCTACTGACTGAAAAATCAAAAGAACAAAAGAAGAAAGTTGTAGTTACCTCGTAAAAAGCTTGCACCATCTCTACTAACACCCACTGTTGCCCCGCCGCCATTTTGACTGAGTCACGTGACCCTGCGCCATCGCGTGGAAGACTAGCGTCAGCGCAACCTTCTTCTTCTTCTTATGATGTTTAATGGCGGTTGGCAAACCAGCTTTTGGTGCATATTCCGCCACCTACTGGGA